TGGGAAGAACCCCTGGAGAAGGAAATGGCAACCCACTCCAGTATCCTTGCCTGGGAAATCCCATGACAGAGGAGCCTAGCGGGCTACAGTCCACCAGGTTGCAAAAAAGTCAGACCTCACTTAGCAATTAAACAACAACAACCCATATTTAAGGCACTTTGAGTTCACTGCCAAGGGCCCAGGTTCAATCCCTGGTCAGGGAACTAAGATCCCACAAGCCAGGCAGCACAGCCGCCATAAATAAAGAAATAAAATTACATGTTAAATATTTAATGAAAAATAGCTGGGCTTCCCAGGTGTCTCAGTGGGTAAAGAATGCAGGAGATGCAGGAGACTCAGGCTGGATCCCTGGGTCGGGAAGATCCCCTGGAGGAGAAACGGCAACCCACTCTAATATTCTTGCCTGGAGAATCCCATGGACAGAGGAGCCTGACAGGCTACAGTCCGCCCATAGGGTCACAAAGCATTGGACACAACTGAAATGACTGAAGCAGGCACGAAAAATAACTTTCAGAAGAATAACATCAGCAACTTGGCAGATGAAAAACTCTCTCCTCTTCAGTCTACAACCACTAAAACATTCACAACACAATAAAGGCACCTCGGTCCACCAGACCAGGTGTCCAGAGAATTCCACACATCTGTACACGTAGAGGGGGTTGGACAGGGACAAACCTTACTGGACACGACAGCGGAGCCAGGTGCAACCCAGCTCCCCGCCACCCTCGCCCTCCCCTCAGGGGCGGAGTCTGCCAGGAGCGCGCATCCCGAAAGTAAGCGAAGAGCCCACCGCCTCCGAGCCCCAGGCGGCGACACCAGCAATACTGGCAGAAACAAGGCATCGGTGACCCCAGAGGCACAAGGAGCAATTAGGAGGGTTTGGAGCAACCATAAAAGCCATGGAGGGTGGCAAAGGCCAGTGTAAGCAGAGGCAGCGCCGAAAAGAGAAATCCAAACCTTGTGCTATAGCACCACCTACTGGAAAACGGGAGAAACGCCTCAATTTCTTCTTGCAGGTCTCCCCTCGTTCGCGGTACTTTAGCTCCCCAACCAGGGTTTGAACATTGGCCCTTGACAATGAGCGCTCAGAGTCCTAACCACTGGACCGCCAGGGAACTCTCCGAAACGCCTCAATTTCTAACCTGTTAAATTGTTAGCACCAAGCAGAAAAGGGTCCCCTATACAACGGCAGAGGAGCAACGCGTCAAGAACCATGAAGAACCACGGAAACACTGTGACCCAAAAGAAAATGACGGTCCTCCAGAAACTAAACTTGAAGTCGCAGAGTATTGAGATCTCCCTGGTAGAGAATTCAAAATAGCTCTACGAAGAAAATCAAAGAGCTACAAGAAAATTCAGAAAGGTAGTTCAGTGAACTCGGGATTAAAATTAATGAACAGATGAAATACTTTACCAAAGAAATTGAAACTCTAAAGAGAAATTAGAAATTCTGGAGCGGGAGAATTCAGTAGATGAGATGAAGAACGCACCAGAAAGCATTGGAAATAGAGCACACAATGTTTGAAAAAGACAATTAGCAAGCTTGAAGATAGAAATCTATAAGTAGTACAAGTAGAAGAGAAAATAGCAATAAGATTTTTTAAATGAGGAAATTCTAGGAGGGCTATCTGTTCTAGCAATGGCAACATTAGGGGAGTGGGTGTCTCAGGAGAAGAGAGGAGAGGGCTGAGAATTTATTTAAAGAAATAATAGGGTGGGAGGGGGGTTCAGGGTGGGGAACACATGTACACCTGTGGGGGATTCATGTCAATGTATGGCAAAACCACTACAATTTTGTAAAGTAATTAGCCTCCAATTAAAATAAATTTATATTTTAAAAAAGAAATAATAGGAGGGAATTCCCTGGAAGTTCAGTGGTTAGGACTCTTGCGTTCTCACTGCCAAGGGCCGGGGTTCGATCCTTGGTTGGGGAACTAAGATCTCACAAGCCAAGCAGTGTGGGGGAAAGAAAAGCCAGCGCTGGCTCAGCCAGGAAGAGAAAGGACAGGCTTCTGGAGGAGGCCTGAATACCAGGCCACCAACCCAGCTGCCAAGGAGCTACATGAAGCCTCTTTAGCCTTATGACTCTGATGGACCATGACCCCATCATGTAGATTTGGACATTGTTCCATCAAGTAGAACAGAGCATCAAAACCAAAATAACAAAAATGGGCTTGGGAGGGGGCACTGTTGTAACCCTGGGTCTACTCCAACTAAAAAAAAGAAAGATAAAGAAATAATAGAAAAGCAGCCAAGGCAGCAGAGTGAAGAGGCCCTGGGCTCACCTCCTCTCACCAGCGCGCTGGGGTCACGGCCGTCGGCAGAACAGCCATCAATGAAAAGGAATTGGAGCCTACCAAATGGGAGCTTCCCTAGTGGTCCAGTGGTTAAGAATCCATGCTTCCATTGCATAGGGCANAGACAGGATGGAGCAACTAACACTTCACTTCAGTGCCTGATTGCGGGAGCCCCACAGGACTCGGGGAGGTGGAGACGTCCCTTTAAAAAGGCACTTTGCACTGAACCCAGGGCAAAAGCGGCGATTTGGTGGGAGCCTGGGCCAGACCTACCTTGCTGGTTTTGGAGAGCCTCCTGCGGAGGTGGGGGTGACTGTGGCTCCCGGTGGAGACACGGACATCAGTAGCAGACACGTTGAGGAGCATTTGGCCCGGAGAGCGCGGCGGCTGCCATGTTGGCTCGTGGGTGCGGGAACCGGGCCCGCCCAGCCGCCTGCGGGGCATGGGTTCTGGATGCCTCCGGCCAGGCGACTAGAGGGGCAGGGGCATGGTCCCTCCTGTCTTGGTCAGAACTCTGGTTGGAAAAGAATTTCCAAACACAAGGCAGAATGAGAGGAGAGAAGAATTTATTGAACAGGAGATGCTGTTAAAACGGCGAGCTTAGCTCAAGGGAGAGGCGAAGCATTTCCTGGGCTACTAGCCAACTTTCATAGCCTCCAGACAAAGAAAATGTCTGCTGGAAGGTTGCGTTAGGTGATTGGGTGGTGCGCCATAGGGTGTTTACTGGAGTGGGCATCTTTGCCTAATTGGGAGTCAGGCAGCTTGTTAGTGATGATCAGGGGGCTTTTGGAAAGGTTACAAAGGGGGTCAGTCAGTTTCGGAGGTGACCTTGGTTCTGGGCTCTGCTTCTGTGGCCTTGGTGCAAAGCTTAGTACCTGTAGCCTGGGGCAGGACTCAACAGCAACTACTGAGCGGATGAACCACAACTACTGAAGCCGGTGCACCCCAGAGCCTGTGCTCCACAAGAGAAGCCACCGCAATGAGAAGCCTACACACCACAACTAGAGAGCAGACCCTGCTCTCCACAGCTAGAGAAAGCCTACATGCAGCAGTAAAAACCCAGTGCAGCCAAAAAAAAAAGAGAGAGAGAGAGAGAAAGCTATGATCTCCCAGTGCAGGCCAGAACCCTACCCTGGCCCCAGAAGCCACCAGCAGGCCAATGAACCTTTGGGACACGCCAGACCTCATATCCAACGGTGTCAGGAACCACCTCCCACCCCTACTGCACCATCAATGATCTGAAATGAGCTCTGGGATCCTTGAGCACTGCAACCAGATGCCAGGAGCCAGTTGTACCTGCCAGTAGTCTGGCACTAACCCCAAGACTGAGCTTCACCTGCCAGTGGGTGGGCAACAGCCCCAGAGTCCTCAGGACTCTGACTCCGTCCACCAGTGAGCCAGCGCTAGCCCTGGGGCGCCTAGTATTCTGCAGCCAGCCACCTCATGACCAGACCCCGCTCCCCCGACAAACAACAGCCAGCAGCACTCACACAAGTCAGGGCCTGGCAACCAACCTGAGTAGGGGCCAACCAAGCCTATCAGATTACCCACACAGGGAGCCCTCCGTTACAGAAAGACCCACAGAGCCCACTTAGGGGGAACCCCTAGAGCATATAACTTGGTTGACGAGAGGGGAGTGCACTGCTCGGACACATAGGCTGCCTCCTAGAGGGTCACTGCTCCAAGGTCAAGAAATGTAACTGCAGTGCTCTGGGACAACCCAGAGGGATGGGATGTGGAGGGAGGTGGGAGGGGGGGTTGAGGATGCGGGGACACGTGCACCCATGGCTGATTCATGTCGATGTATGGCAAAAACCACCACAATATTAAAGTAATTATCCTCCAATTAAAATAAATTAATTAAAAATAAATAAAATTTTTAAAAAGAAAAACTCAACATTCAAAAAAACTAAGAAAAAAAGAAATGTTAACTGACCTGCCACATACATAAAAAGACAAACAGCAACTTACACAAGATGAGATGGTAGAGGACTATGTCCCAGATGGCAGAAAAAGATAAAACCCCAGAAGAACTAGGTGGAGATAGGTAATCTACCTGAGAAAGTTTTCAGAGTAATTATCCCAAAGATGATAAAGAACTTAGGAGGAGAACAGATATACAGAGTGAGAAATTAGACTTTTTTTTTAAAACAAAAGAGCTAAAAAATATAAAGAACCACCAGAAATGAAGGATACAGTAACTGAACCCAGGACTTCCCCAGTGGTCCAGTGGTTAAGACACTCCACTCCCAATGCAGGGGGCCTGGGTTCAATCCCTGTTTAGGGAATTAGATCCCACATGCCGCAATTTAAAAAAAAAAGATTCCAAATGCTACTGCAACTAAAGATGTCACAGGCAGCAATGAAGATCCTTTGTGCTGCAACTAAGACCAGGCACAGCCAAATAAATAAACATGTTTGTTTGTTAGTAAAAAAGGGATGGGGGTTATATGAAGGTGTAGGTCTTTGAGGATCACCTTAGAATTTTGCTTACAATAAAAACCTTTATTAAATTACTACCTATGGTTCCTTATATTTATCTTATGACATATTGGGCTTCCCTGTTGGCTCAGACGGTAAAAGCGTCTGCCTGCAATGCGGGAGACCCGGGTTCAATTCCTGGGTCAGGGCCCCCAGCCGCCCAAGACTCCTGTTATAACTGCGGCTCGCCAGCGCCCCGGAAGTTGCCCCTTCTCGGGGGTCATGGTGGGCAGCAAGATGGCGTCTGCCAGCAGGTTTGTTTAGGTAGTCAAGCCACAGACTCCGTTAATAAGGTTCCCTGACAGAAGAGACATCCTAAACCAAATGTATCAGAAGTTCTAAGATCGGCGGGACTACCATCTCATACTTCTTCAATTTCACAGCATTCTGCTGCTGCTACTGCTGTCACTTCAGTCCTGTCTGACTCTGTGCGACCCCATAGACGGCAGACCACCAAGCTCCCCCTTCCCTGGGATTCTCCAGGCAAGAACACTGGAGTGGGTTGCCATTTCCTTCTCCCTCACAGCATTCTAAGGGAAGTAAATCGCCAGACTGGCTGATGCATCAGGGTCCACCAGACACCGCAGAGATAAGACAAACTTTACCTCAAAAATACAGAAGGAAACTTGTGTCTAATGAAGAAATTGAATTTATCCAATGTGGAGGTCCAGAATAATCACTGACAATGTGGCTGTTGTTTGTCATCAGACAAAGAAGAGGCTTTCCAAAAAAGGACTTCCAAAATGACAAATGAGAAATTGTATATTAAATAACTTTAATAAATATTCTGTAAAAAGGGGAAAAAAAGATGAATAGAAAATTTAGATAGATACTTATATCTTCTAATTTATGTATCTTGGTCAGCTTCTCTATAAGCTTACCTGATTGTTTATATACTTTATACCTTAATTAAAGTATACATTTTAAAATGTTAGCCTATTAATTTACTCTTGATTATCAAGCATAACAGTGTTGAACTACTGAAAGCACACAATGTCTAGTGAACCATCAAAGGCTTCCAGTAATTTCACTTTTCAGTTTCCATTTAAACATAGAATATATTTGGCAGAATTGCAGCTTTCTGGAAGTAATTTTCCTGAAATCAAATGAGGATCTGTGAAATAATAACTCCATTATTTGTTCTTACTTCTCAATGTTTTTGCGTTCACAAAGTTACTTAAGTATAACTGGCTTATTAACAAGCCTATCCTACTCTAAATGATAAAAATATATCCATGGTAAAACAGGTGACTTTGTGGTATTAGGACTAGGGAGTTAACACGAAATATTATATGTAACCTGTATTCAGAAAAGAAATGCCAGAGTATAAAATGGAAAATGAGATCAAAATGAATATAGCATAGGAATAACATTTGACAAGAAATTGTAATTTATTATGTTTTCAGAGGGGTTAAAAAAGTCCTATTCTTTGGTTTATCTCTTTGTTTTGATTGTGATTGTGTATACAAATCCTGATAATCATAAACTTTCTCAAAATTTAAAAAAAAAATCCCTGGGTCAGGAAGATCCCTTGGAGAAGGAAACGGCAACCCACTCCAGTACTCCTGCCTGGAAAATTCCATGGATGGAGGAGCCTGGTGGGCTACAGTCCATGGGGTCGCAAAGAGTCGGACATGACTGAGCAATTTCACTTTCACTTTATGACATATTAAGAACTCTAGAGTCAAACCCTTTGATTCACCCACTGCTCTCTTGCTCACATGCTCCCAATGCTAGTGTATATATCAGGATGGGGGCTTCATGGTGTCCCCAGCTGTTGCTTCCTATCCCTACTCAATCTCTGTTGAATCACTCCCTGTTCTCATAATCCAGACAGCTTTGTGGATGAGGCCAGGATGCAGAAAATTTGTATGCATTATTAATGAGATCAGGAAAAGGTAGTAGGCAGCTGGTGAACTGGAGGTGTGGTGAGGGAGGGCAGTGGGGAGGGGTGAAGGCTGGTCTGTGGGTGGATGGGTGGGCAGGGGGCAGATCATTGTCTTGGAGTGACAACAGAAGACTGAGTGGGGCTTCTGGGAAAGTTTTACTCTCCTAATAAAGTGATCCAGTGGGCATGTCCTTGCCTTCTTCTACCCTCTTCTGCCTGGAAAACAGACATAACCGGTAGGGGCGCAATGATGAAACCACATGCATGAGCTCCAAAGCCAACACATCGTCATACACTGATGATGGCAGAAAAGAAGTGGAGAAAAACTCCGGGCTTCCCATGGCAGAGGTGGACAGCTGGCTGAACTCAGCCCTCTCCCACCAGTTTGAAATCAAAATCATTTGCTGTTTCTATTGTCTGAGGTGGCGCTAAGTGGTGAAGAACCTGACTGCTAATGCAGGAGGCATAAGAGACATGAGTTCAATCCCTGGGTCAGGAAGATCCCCTGAAATAGGAAACAGCAACCCACTCAAGGGTTCTTGCCTGAAGAATCCCAGAGGAACCTGGCGGGCTACAGTCCATAGGGTTGCAGAGTCAGACGTGACTGAGCACATCTTTTGTGAGCCACTGACAGTCCAGCTTGTTGTTACTCGAAGGCAAGAGCCATCCTAACCAATGTCTATAAGTTTTATTTATTTTGGCTGCCCCGGGTCTTTGTTGCTGCATGTGGGCTTTCTCGAGTTGTGGTGTGCGGTCACTGCAGTGGCTTCTCCTGTTGCAGAGCAAGGGCTCTGGGGCACACAGGCTTCAGTAGTTGTGGCTCATGGGCTTAGTTGCCCCTTAGCAGGTGGAATCTTAGTTCCCAGACCAGGGATCAAACCCATGTTCCCTGCATTGGTAGGCAGATTCTTAACACTGGACCAACAGTGCTGTGCTTAGTCGCTCAGTCGTGTCGGACTCTCTGCGACCCCATGGATGGCAGCCCCTCAGGCTCCTCTGTCCATGGGGATTCTCCAGGCAAGAATACTGGAGTGGGTTGCCACACGCTCCTCCAGGCGATCTTTCCAACCCAGGGATTGAACCCAGGTCTCCTGCATTGCAGGTGAATTCTCTACCCTCTGAGCTACCAGGGAAGCCCAAGAATACTGGAGTGCGTAGCCTATCCCTTTCTCCAGGGGATCTTCCTGACCCAGCTATCGAACTGGGGTCTCCTGCATGGCAGGCGGATTCTTTACCAGCTGAACTACCAGGAAAGTCCCCCCAAATCTACTTCTAACTGAAACCTATGTATCCTGTATCAAACTTTGGAAATTTCATAATTAAGCAGTATGACGGTCATTTTGCAGGAGAAATTGAGAATCAGAGAGGTAGTGTCCCCTGTTGGAAGTCAGACAGCAGCTCCGTGGTAAAGGTCTGACTTCCACGGCTTGCACTGGGCCTTCTGGCACGTGCCTATTGACCCCACGGAGCCAGATGGTGAGCAGGGGGCTCATCAATGCCTGCTGAATGCACAAATGGTCTTCTCCCAGGTAGTTGAGACCCCTCTCAGTACTGACATTCTAAGATCTGTGGGTTTCGAAAGTGAACACTGACATGTACCGAAGTTTGGAATGTCTTTTGAGGCTTGCCACCATTCCTATTTCTGACTCAACCCCTACAGATGCCAATGAAATGGGAGGTTTTCAAATTCCAAACCAGGCCATGGGAAATAAAGATCCCACAAAAGAAATAAATTGACTTTGACAGTGTGAGAACGTTGAGGCTACACCAGGTGGGGAGCAACAGGAGTAGCCTTCAGTTTCAAGCTGGCCTCCCTGTCCCCGCCCACCCGGTCCAGGAGATGCTGGGAGCACGGTAGCAGGCAACTTTCCCAGACTTCAGAAATGAGTGCGGTGACAGTAGCAATCAGACGAGAACACGGGCAGGCAGACTCTGTATTTCCCTCTTCACTTCTCCCTGACCTTGTCCCAGCCACCATCAGAAAAGGACCTGACTTGACATCATTTCAGCCCTTCTCACCATCCTGCTGAGGCTCCTGAAATGGGGAAACAAGAAAGAATAAATAATAATAATAACAGCAGCAACTCTTAAAAAAAAAATAGCATTTGTAGGGCTTACTATGTTCAGGCACCTTTCTAAGATTTTCCATTTCCAGGGCTTATAATGCCTGCCAGAGTCTCCTTGACATTTCTGAAACAAAGCAGACACACTCCTACCACAGGGCCCTTGCACTTTCTGTCCCTTCTGCCCCAAATACTTACCCCTAGATATCCACATGCTTCAGTCCCTTACATCCTTCAAGTGTTTAAATATCATTTTCCCAATGAGATTGTCTCTGACCACTCAACTTAGAGATGCAAAAAATCCCCAGCAGCCTCCAAAGCCTTTTCCCTACTTTATTTTTCCACTTATCACTTATCTCCTAAAGTGCCTTCTAGGGACTTCACTAGAAGCACAGGTTTGATCCCTGGTAGAGAAGTAAGAGAGGAGGGCACGGCAACCCACTCTAGTATTCTTGCCTGGAGAATCCCCATAGACAGAGGAGCCTGGGGGGCTATAGTCCATGGGGTTGCAAAGAGTCAGACACAACTGAGCGACTCAGCATAGCATGGAGGAACTGAGACTGGACATGCTGAATGGTGTGGCCAAAAAAAGAAATAAAAGGTAATGAAAGGCCTTCTCTTCACCTAGGGTCTTGTTCACTGTCTTCCATTAACTGTCAGCTCCACTAGGCCAAAGGCTTGTGTCTATTTGGTTCACCACTGTGTCATCCCCAGGACCTAGAACCATACCTCGTAGGTACTTAGGAAATACTTGACTAAAATGAAACCCAGTGAGGTTAAAGACACGTGACTCAAGACGGGCCAATGATAGCACTGCCAATGATAGCAGTGTAGTGACAGTCCCTTGGCTCTGAGTGATTCATTCAGAGATGGACATGTAACTTGATCCATGCCAATGGGAATCTTTGCCAGATTATGGTATACTTATGATGAGTATATCAAAACTCAACAACTTGTGTGCTTTAAACATGTACTGGTTCTTATGCATCACTTACACTTCAATAAAGTTGGAAACAATTGTAAAGTAGATACACAATAGACAAAGTATTAAATCAGTAGCAGCTTACAAATATCTACATAGTGAGTGGTTTTAAAAACCCAGTACTGGTGGAAAACAAATGGTTGTGTCTATGCTTTAAAACATTAAGACAACATTAGCAATAGGACTTTCTGCAATTGTTGATTCCATGTTCTGTATCTGCACTGTCCAATACAGTTGCCACATGTGGCTGTGAACATTTGAAATGTGGCTAGTGGGACTAATAACTGAATATTTAATGTATTAATTTAACTAACTCCATTAAGGTGAAAAGTCACATGCTGTTATTGTCACATACTGCCACAGCACAGCTTTACAACTAAAAGTTTAAAAAAAAGTTATTTGAAAAAAAAACTGTATAGTTGATATATGCTGAGCCTACTCTGACATACACTGAGCCGTGCACTACTTATTACCTTATAAGACGCATTTTATGGAATTAACAACCCCATTTTACAGATGAGGAAACTGAGGCTCAGAAAAGGGTATAGATAACTTAACCTGATTTTAACAGTGAGGACTGGTTGAGCTAGGATTGGGGCTAAGGTGTCTTTGACTCCAAGACAGGGCCCTGCCTTCTGCCTGCCCACCCACCCATAGTCCAACTTCCACCCCTCCCACCTCACTGCCCTCACCTCACCTCTAGCCCACTAGTTGCCTGCTACCCTTTTCTTGAACTCCTCATTGAGCAGGTTCACAATTGTCTGTAGCTTGGCCTCATCCACAAAGCCATCACCATTCTGGGCACAGAAAGGAAAGAGCACAGACATGTAGGTGTCTCCCCCCTGGGAGCTCCAGCCTCCCTCCCTGGCCAGGAACCTTGCTCAGAGTCACCTTCTTTGAATGTACCAGTTTTCCATCCACAAACACTTCAAACTCCCCTGTAGCCTGGGCAGATATTTCCTCCTCCTGGGGAGGGAATTTTGGAGGTTAGTGGAGGCAAAGAACTCCCCTCCAAGTCCCTTGGAGGGTCTTGGAGCCCTGATTACCCCCCTCCCAACTCTCCCAAGCTATCAGCACACTCACGAAGATTAGAGAGTTTGGAAATTGCTGCTCCAGACTCTTTCTCAGTAGGATGTACTGTGGGGAGGAGACAGGATTATGTGGTTATGGGATCACAGGGTCATAGGGCTTGAGAGGAGGGAAAACAGGAACCCCTTCCAGACATCATGGCCCAAACTCCCCCCACCTCCAAAGCCAAAACTACTTACCCGCAGGCTGTAGCTTCAGAGGCCACTGGAGGCCGAGGGCAGGGAGGAGGGAGGCAGAGAGAGGTGGAAGGAAGATACATCATTAGAATCTCTTGAAGTCCAGAGAGACACTATGAAGAGCTAAATCAGATCTTGTCCCTCCCCTGCTCAGAAGCATCTGAACACAAAAAGAACACAGTCCTCCCCATGGTCCACAAGCCCCGACAGGATCCACCCCCATCACCTCTCTGCTCCATCTCTTCCCTCTGTCCCTCTGGCTCCAGCCACAGGGACCTCCTAGCCCTTCTTCCAACACTCCAGGCATGCCTTGCCTCAGGATCTTTGTACTGGCTGTTGTCTCTGCAGAATACTCTTTCCCTGGTAGCTCAAAGGCTCCTTCTCGCCCCTCTTTCAGATCTTTGGTCAAGTATTGCCTCCTTGAGGATACTCCAGCTAACCTGTGACACCGCCCCCCCCCCAAGATGCCTTTTGTCCATAGCGCTGGTCACCTTCTAAGATATTAGATAACTTGCCATGTGCTGTGTTTATTGCCCATTCCTGCCCCTCCACATCAGAATGTCAGTGCCATAGGCATCTTTGTCTTATTCACTGCTGTGTCTCTGATGCTGAGAATCGGGTCAGCACATGGCAGATGCTGAATAAATGGTTGTTCAGTGAATAAAATAATGAATGAATCCACGGAGTCAGAGAAAGAGAAAGAAGATGGGGAATTCCCTGGTGGTCCAGTGGTTAAAATTTCACACTTCCGCTGACGGGTGCGCAGGTTTGATCTTTGATCCTTGGTCAGGAAAGCTTTGCATGAAGCACAGGTTTGACCAAAAAAAGAAGGAGGAGGAGGAGATGGGCAGAGAAAAAGAGGTGGGGGAGAGGGGGAAAGAGAGACAGAAGGAGAAAGAGCTACACATCACAAGGGGAAAGGAAAAGAGACAGTGAGTTGGAGAGAGAGCTAGAGAAAGACCATCACATGGGGGCGGGGGCGGGGGGGGGACTGGAGGGGAAGACAAAGCCTCACGTCCGGCCACATTCAGTCCTGGGTCTCAAGGAAGTCAAGGAAGGTCACTGCTGTTTACTCTTGTCATTGACACAAAGATTCCACTCTGGGATCACAAATGTGGACCCCTCTGGCCTTTGCATTGGGTGTTCCCCCTTTCCCTTGCTACCCGGGTCCCCCTACTTCTATCCGACCCTCCCCACCCCACTTGGTAGCCTCATCACTGAGAAGTTGCAGCCTAAGACCCACCTCCCAAGAAAGGCTGCTTCTAAGCCCTCAGCTTTTGAAGTTCTCCCATTCCTCCTCTTCCCTCTTCCTGCCCTCATCTCCTGCCCCGACCCCAGGAAAACATGGCTTGGCTCAGCCCTCTATCTCCTGAAGGCCTGGCCCACAGCAGCAGGAGAGTGAATGAATGAATCCAGAGCTCTCCGGTCCCAAAGAGAATAGCAGGCCCAGAGGCAGAAGCAGGTGTGGGCAGGGACAGCTCCTTACCAGTAGACCACTTGAATCATGATCTTGTTTTCCGCTTTGAGGCTCCCACTGATGGAGGCTAATGCAGGAACCGGTAAGATGGCCTGGATGGCCCCTAGGATGGGCGTCCCTGGGACATGTCCAGAAGAAGCTATCAACTTGGTGGTCGATGGATCTGTCCTCAGAGGGGACCCGCGGGATGGGGACGGTAAGTCGGTGGCCAGTGGAGTAAGAGCAGGAAGGGGCTCTTGGATGGGAGGAAATCCACTGGCAGCTGATGAAACCTGCTTCACCCTCGGGGTTGGCTCAAGTTTCTTGGCAGGTGACACAGTGAGCGTGGGTTCAAGTTCCAGGGGCGGGCCCGAAGGCGAGTCGGGGAGGGATTCCAAGGCAGAAATCAGGACCCGAGATGGGATCAGGGTTGGGATCGGGTCCGGAGTTGGGATCTGGACCGGAGTCGGAGACCGGATCAGTGTCGGGGTCCCGATCGGTGTCGGGGGCCGGACAGGAGTCGGGGGCCGGACGGGAGTCGGGGGCCGGATGGGAGTCGGGGGCCGGACGGGAGTCGGGGGCCGGAGCGGAGTCGAGGGCGGGACCGGAGTTGGGGTCCGGGCCGGAGTCGGGGGCCGGAGCGGAGTCGAGGGCGGGACCGGAGTTGGGGTCCGGGCCGGAGTCGGGGGCCGGAGCGGAGTCGAGGGCGGGACCGGAGTTGGGGTCCGGACCGGAGTTGAGGGCGGGACCGGAGTTGGGGTCCGGACCGGAGTTGAGGGCGGGGCCGGAGTTGGGGTCCGGACCGGAGTTGGGGTTCGGATGGGGGTCAGGGTCCGGATGAGAGCCGGCGTCCGGACCAGAGTCGTGATCCGGGTCGGGCCCGACTCCGGGCCCGGAGTCGGAGTCCGAACCTGGATGGAGGTCTTGCGCAGGGTCGAACCCCGGACCGGAGTCGAGGCCCGGGCCGGGGTAGGGGCTGGGGTCCGCGGCTGGTTGTTCATGGGGTCTCGGGGCGCACCCCCGGTAGCCGGGGTGGGGATCCCACCCGACCCTCCTGCCTAGGGGCGGGAAGAGCCTCATTCGCACGGGATTCTAGCGACCACAATGGGGCGCTGTTGCGCGGGGTTCCATTGGGCGCGCGGATTCTACCGCCCTGAGCCGGGGATGGGGCAGGGATCTCTGGATCTCACCTGATAACTCCCATCCCCTGAATCCCTACCTCCAGTTACCAACGTCCTTAATGTTCAGGCATTCACTATATGTTTATCGAGAGCCTGCAATGTGCGCCCTCCTGAGCTGGGCGACTCTTCGGACACAGCAGTCAGGAAAGACCGGGTCCGGAGATCAGGCTCCCTGTCCAATAGGGGAGATGCGCGTGTGGCCGACTCTGCGATCCCAGGGACTCTAGGCCGCCAGGCTCCTCTATCCATGGGATTCTCCAGGCAAGAATACTGGAGTGAACTGCCATTTCCTCTCCCAGGGGTTCCTCCTGACCCAGGAATGGAGCCTGTGTCTCTTAGACTGGCAAGAGGATTCTTTACACGGGAGCCACCTGCTAAGCCCAGGGGAGACACACCCCTTACCAAACAATGACATTCCAGTGAGGTCAGAGTGAGGGTGGAGGAGGCAGAGGCAGAGGAGTTAGAGATACGGTGAGGAAACATGCGGGCTTGTGGGACCCCAGCAGAGGTGCTAGAGTAAGTCTGAGGCAATCAGAGAAGGCTTCCTAGAAGAGGTGACCCGGAGAAGAATAACAACAGACCTTACATTCACATAGCGCTAAATGCTATACACATGCCCACAGCTGGGACGTGGCAGAACCAGGATTCAAACCACAGCTATCAGACTCCAGGGTCCGGACACAGAAGCCTGGGTACAGGGCTCTTATCACACTGTGAGCTCCTCCGTGGTGGGAACTTGTCTGACTCACTGCTGAATCCCCAGCTCCTACAACAAGGCCTGGCATACAGTAGGCACTCAATAAATCTTTTTATTTTGAAAGTTTTTTAAAATATAATTTTATTTATTTAGTTTTGACTGTGCTGGGTCTTCACTGTTGCTCAGGCTTTCCTCTAGTTACAGTGAAGGGGGACTGTTCTCTAGTTGTAGTGCTCAGGCTTCTCACTGCAGTTGACTTCTCTTGTTAAGGAGCGCGGGCTCTAGGATGTGCAGAGGCTTTAGGAATTGTGGTTCCCAGGCTCTAGAGCATGGGCTCAGAAGTTGTGGCACACGGGCTTACTTGCTCCATGGCATGTAGGATCTTCCCAGACCAGGGATCGAACCCGTGTCTCCTTCATTGGCAAATTGCTTATACTTTACCACTGAGCCACCAGGGAAGCCCCTGCAACAGTTGTAACACTTACCAGAAATTGGGAAAATAGTACAGAGCATCCCAGTGTCCCTTTCACTCAGCTCTCCTCAATAACAACATCTTAAGTAACCACAGTATGTTATCAAAACCAACTAGTCCAATACTGTTAGGTCAGGTACAAACATTCAGATTCATGGAAGAGTTTCAAGCCTACAGTGCTTCTCAACCTCTGAGAGTCCTTCCTGTGGTAAATTTTGGGCCTGGTTTCCCAAAACCAGGAGGATCAAGAAAGACTGAACTTTCTGTGTGATGCTGGGTAAGCCTCTACCACATCTTTGGGCTTCAGTTTGCCCCTCTGTGAAATGAACTTGAAACAGGCTTTCCTCTTATAGCATAATATTGAGCACTAACATTTACTGAGCAGCTATCATATGCCAGCCTCTGTTATAAAATGCTTGTAGTTATTAACTCACTACTCACAACCTTCTGAAGCAGGTTCTATTACTAGTCTCATTTTATGGAAGAGAGAGGGAAAGTGACTTGTTTGAATAAGTGGCAGAACCAAGATCTGAACCAAAGCAGTCGGATTTCTGTGTGTTTATAAGCTTTGGGTTTTTGTTTGTTTTGGCTGCATCGGATCTTAGTTGTGGCATGCTGGATCTTTCCTTGTGGCCCATGAACTCTAATTGTGGCACACAGGCTCAGTAAGCTTGCAGTGTGCAGGCTTTAGTTGCCCTGAGGCATATGGGATCTTAGTTCCCACTAGGAATCGAACTCCTATATTGCAAGGCAGGTTCTTAACCACTGGACCACCAGGGAAGTCCCTGACTAGGTGAGGTTGTGGGGAACTGTCTTTGTTTTGGTTTTTTTTTTGGAGTGGTCATCTAGGTTACTTTATTTACTATTGCCATTGTGCTAAATGCAGTAAGTGTACACCTGAAAGATTTAAAGCTTTGCCAAAAGAGAAAAAAAGGACCAGTTTCTCCTTGGTGTGGAATACCTTACTCCTTAGTCCTCTCGGGTTCTCCCTCCTTTCACCTTTAAAGTGAAGGATTGGTATGGGACTCTTCCCTTATGGTGGTGAATCAGAACTCTGGCCATCGCTTTTTGATAATCCAGCCAGTACTGTTCCTGTGATGACTCAGAGATATGTACAGTGATGGTACCAAGATTCTGAGACAGGTAAGGCATCCTTAACACAAGGAACTACATCAGAGAGAGCCCATGGGATTCAGCTGCCCGCTTTCAGATTTTAAGCAGTCGTTGATCAAAAAACACATGATGAGGGTAACGTTCTTTCCATCTTTGCTTTTAAACTGAGTTCTTACTGTAGTGGTTTTTGCCATACATTTAAAAAAAAAGAAAAAAGTTTAAAAAGAAATAAACTGAATTCTGCACTCTGGGCAGATGGCATAATTTGTTCAAGGCAGCAAAGACTTGGGCTCTGAATAGCAACTTGTCTTTGAAGGAATAATGGGGCTGGTGTTGATGTCTGCCTTTAATCTCAATTTAAATATTTGTTGATAGGCTTTTGCTTCCATGTCCATATTCCCCCCCCTTTTTTTTCTTTAATTTTTACTTTTTGGCTGTTCCATGTGGAATGTGGGATTCGAGCTCCCCACCAGGAATCAAACCTGAGCCTCACGTGTTGGATGCGTGGAGTCCTAAACACTGGATCACCAGGGAAGTCCCTCAACGTCCATATTCCTTAATGGTACAGATAATCTTCATGACCCAGAAATTCAATATGGTGAAAAGTGAAAGAGGAGTTTGTACATATAGGTATGTATTCAACACGATATCTATCAACTAAATTAAAAGAATACATGTAAATCAACTATACTTCAATAAAAAAATTTTTTTTAAAGAATATGTGGATCCCTTGGCTGATGTCCTTCATAGGACTCCTTCATTTGTTGTTACTTTCCTCACTGTTCTCTCTTCTTTCACCCCTATGATTCTGCTCATTTCCAAAGGTGTTTGGGCACTGTCCCCGCCATTAGAAAATATGGGGAAGGAGGACTGGCAGAAATTGGCTGATGTGGGCTTTTTAAAAAAATTGTTTATTTATTTATTTGGCTGCACCACACCACACAGAGAAGTGTGGAGTCTTAACTACTGGACAGCCAGAGAGGTCCTGATGCAGACTTTTTTATAGCTTCAGTGGTCGAAGTAGTATTAGATGTATAATGCAGTTTTAGGATAATCCTCAAATTTAGGAAGGTGTCCCCCTCTCTACTAGATCTTAGATTTGCTCCATCTCATTAAGAAGGAGCTGCAACAATTACCCTACTCTCTGAGCCTCCCACTCCTCTGTAGAATACGTTCTTTCTGTTCTCACCAACTGGTTCTGTTTGTTTGCCTGCCACATACAGTACTTACATCTAGTATTAATAACAAACCCTGACTTTTGCTAGAGAAAGGGACACTCTTTTGCCCACATATTGCATGTGATTTGAACATGCTAACCTTAATCTAGTATTAATAACCAACCGGGACTTTTGGTAGAGAAAGGGACACTCTTTTGCCCACATATTGCATGTGATTTGAACAGGCTAAACTTAATCCCCGCCACACACCAGACAAATGGCCAAACTTGGCCAATAAAAATATGTTATACTTGCCTGGCCACTAGTTCAAGTAAGGCCACGTGACAAGCCAGGGGCAGTGAAAGCCCATCCATCCTACATATGAAGTCCTCCCAGAGACAACTGGAGAAAAACACTGAGCCTCTGAAATCAGTCCTGCTGAAGCGACACCTGCCACGAGGCTTTCAGTTTTATTAACTAATATGTTCTCTTGTTTATTTAAACAACTTTGAGTTATTTCCGACCCTCTGCAACAGAGTCCTGTCTATTCTTCTTCTCAGGAGACAAAAATCTCTTCCCTCAGCCCCAACACCACATACAAAGCACTCAACTTGATGAGTCAAAGCTGATCAAACTAAGAGCTTTTATAGATATCTCTGGAGGCATGGGGAGAGAAAGAGAGACAGGATATAAATAACCACTATGTACAACTTCCAATGGCAAAATTCTCTCTGTCACCCCTTCCAGCTTGAACTCCAAAGTGTCTGAAGCAGAGAGCACAAAAATATTCAGGTTCTGTCTCCACGTGCTGATGGAGAGGGGCCAGGTCAGGCCTAGAAACAGAATAAGTAGGAAGCATTAGAAAGGGTTGCCTCTGGGACTTCCCTGGATGTCCAGTGGTTAAGAATCCAGGCTTTCAATGCCGGAGATCTGGGTTCCATCCATGAACCGGAACTAAGATCCCCCAAGGCAAAATAGGGGTAGGGCCAAAATAAGGGGGAGAGGGGCTGTCCTTCTGCCTCTCTTCCCTTTCTCCAGTGAGTTCAAATCAGTGGAGAAGCTCTAGCCTGAAGCTCCCCACCTCTTGAGGCCCAAAGGTCATCTAAAGAGAAGATGCCAAGGAGCTCAAAAGGACAGTAAAAGGGATGCAAACAGAACTAAAGCAAGTCAAAACTGAGAAGTGGCTTTAGAATCTTCCAGAGACTCTACCCACCCCCACCCAACCCCCATTTTAGAGAGAAAGGGGATCTACAGCTGAAGCAGGGGCTGCCTCTGTCCACTGTGCCTAAAGTGCGCAGGGGGGGAGAGGCGTGTTAACTACCTCCCGAGCACAGACGGAAGGAGCAGATATGACGTAAATCGAACGAGCGTCTCCATCTTCAGGGTGATTCCAGTCTGAGGACGGGCTACGGGGGAGAAAAGTAAGATCTAGACCCTTTAAATTCTCATATCCTGTTTTCCCACCCACCACAGAGAGGGTTTTGAACCCAAAGCCAACTAAGGGACTTGTGAAACCGCCCAACCAGAAAAAGGCTGGACAGAAATGGACCAATCAGGAAGGTCCATTAAGGACTCAGGCCAATTGCACCACAGATTGACGAAAGCCGCCAAGGAGCACAAGGCTTACGTCTGCGATCTAGCCCCTCACCTCGGGCCGTCCCCGGGACCTTCCTGCATCCTCACGTTGTTGAGTGCATCAGGGAGTGCGTGGACTGACGGCTCCGGGGTCCCCGCCAACAAACGAGGCCCAGTATCCCGGCTAGGGCCACGGCGTCGCACGTGGACCAGCAAGAGCGCAGCGCCGGCCAAGCCCGCGGCCACCAGCAGTCCCAAAGCCGGCGGCAGAAGGAAGCGCTGTGGGTCCCCCTGTCTCAGGCCGGGCTGGGCCGCGGGCAATGCGCCCGCGCCGTCGGGGTGAACCGGGAACTCGCACCGCGGGCCCATGTAGCCCGGCGCGCAGGCGCAGACGAGGCCGGAGAAGTGCGCGTAGCAGCGGCCGCCGTGGGCGCAGGGGCGCGCGGCACACGGGTCGGCGCGCTCCCGACAGTCGCGGCCGCCGAAGCCCAGCGCGCAGGAGCAGCGGCGCGCGCCGACCGTTGGCGCAGGTGTGGCCGGTGCAGTCTTCCAGGTCGTGCTCGCAGCGCGGCCCCGCGAAGCCGGCGCGGCAGCGGCAGCGGAGGGCGTGGCCCAGATCCAAGCAGAGTCCGCCTGTGGGGAAGGGAGCGTCAGGGTAGCGGCTCCCCCAACCCGCCCGCGCTTCTTTTTCTCAGCTCGGAAATCCCCGCCCCCATCCCTTCTCTGGGCCCCTCTATCTTGTTTAATTCAAGGGCTCTGGGAGTTTGCCTGGAAAGCCGGCCCGCCTCCTTTCCCCCCGAGTGGTCTTGGATTGACTGAGCCTCACACCTCTTTAGTTCTGTGTTTCTTGTCTTTTGTCTCGGCTTTACCTTACTGAAATAGTTCACAGTTCCAGAACGACGGGTCTGGACCTCCTTGCCTTTGCCCACGCCTCCTCCTCCCCTTTCTCTGCTTTTCTCCCATTCTTTTCCCCTGCTCTCTTCTCAGGTGCACTCAGGCGCCCCCTCCTCCAGGACGCCATCCCTGATTCTTCCTCCATCCCAGCTCTACGCTCCCTTAGCCACTGTTGGCTCTGTCTGAGGACGACTCTGTCTTCCCCTCTGGACTGATACCCCTCTGAGGACAGAGCCCAGAGCTGTCCTGGTCACTACTGTGTCCCCAGTACCACTCAGCCCAGAGTAAACACACTCAATGAGTGTTTTGGAGAGCAGTAGGCTTCTAATAGGCTTCCCTGGTGGCTCAGTTCTGGAAGATCCCCTGGAAAAGGAAATGGCAACCCACTCCAGTATTCTTGCCTGGGGAATCCCAGGGACAGAGGAGCCTAGCAGGCTACAGACCATGGGGTCACCGAAAATCCGACATGATTTAGCGACTAAACAACAAGTATTATAAGAAGAAGAGCTCGCTGAGCCCTTCACATTCATGATCTCCTTTAATGTTGTAATATCTATATCAAATCAGGTCTCTCCACTGTTCAGTACCCTCCTGTGGCTCCGTCTCCCTCAGGGTAACACCAAAATCCTCCCGTAACCCATGAAGCCCTACAGGCTCTGTCCCCGTCACCTCCCTGACCTCACTCTCCCGTCACTCACTCTGCTCCAACCACACTCGCTTCCCCACAGTCCTCAGCACACCAGGCACATTCCTGCCTCAGGGTCTTTGCACGTGCTCATCCCTCCTCCTGGAATATACTCTTCCCTCAGACCCCCACATGACTCCCTCCCTCCCTTCAGCGTGGCTTTCCCTACCCATTCTAGCTAAAATGTCAATCTGCCACCCATACACACTCCCCCTCTGGCTTTTTCTTCTTAGGTTTTTATCACCATCTAACCTTTATTTACTCATTGTATGTGTGTGTGAATGCAAAGTCGTTTCAGTCATGTGCGACCCCATGGACTGCAGCCTGCCAGGTTCCTCTGTCCATGGGATTCTCCAGGCAAGAATACTGGACTGGGTTGCCATGCCCTCCTCCAGGGGATTTTCCTGACCCAGGGATCAAACCTGCGTCTCTTATGTCTACCTGCATTGACAGGTAGGTCCTTTACCACTCGCGCCACCGGGGAAGTTCCTCTATGAGGGTAGGGGTTTTCATCTCATTTCCTACTGCATTCCCAGAACAGGGCCTGACACGCAGTGGATGGTCAACAAAGATTTCTGAGATAGGAACGTCATCTCACCCGGTTCACAGAACAAACTGAGGCTGGGCAGCCAGGGGAGGATCACTTCCTCAGGCCTCAGGGCAAAGTCAGGATCCCCGCCCCCACCCCCCCACTGCCCCGGGACTGCGTGAGCCAGGCCCTTTTCTTGCCCACTGACTGTGCAGGGCCCCCACCTTCATCCCTCCCCGCTCTGCTCTCCCCACCTCACCGTTCCGGCAAGGCTGCAGGCTGCACCGGTCCACCCTCTTCTCACAGTTGGAGCCTTGGAAACCGGGCGGGCAGTGGCAGATATAGGCCGAGTCGGGGTCTGCGCCTCCCACACACAAGCCACCGTTGAAACAAGGTCCGTCCGCACAGGTCACCCCGCTCACCTCACACCGCAACCCATAGAACCCTCGGGGACAGGTGCATTCGAAGGACCCCAGGGTCTCCTGGGCACAGGCAAGAAGACTTGGGGTCAGCATTCCCTTGGAATGAAACCCGCTCCTCACTCTGGGTCATTGGGGGGCTGCTCCCTGTCCAGTCCCACCTCCCAGGCCACAGAGGCCTCCTGGGGGAAGTCCCTGGGCCAAGACAACCCCTCTGTTCCGTGTTTCTGGGTCTTCCCATCCAGCCCCACAGAGGGGAGGCTCTGGAGGCCCAGAGAGATTCCATTCCCACCTCTATACCTTTGCTGATCAAATGCTGCCTACCCTGTCTGTCCTCCCTGGTGCTGCCTGCATGGCCCAGGCCTAATTCCAGATCCTGGCTCTAAGCCCACCTCCTCCATGAAACCGTCCCTGGGTCTCCCCTTCTCACACCCTGCCTCTAACTTGAACTCTGTCACTGTCCCCCTCACTGAGCTCTGCTTCATTCCAGGCTCACCCCCACCACCACCTTTGCTTCCCCCAGGCCACTCATCTGGTCTAGCTTCTCCAATCACCCCCATCCACCAAACTGGACTTCAGAAGCCCAGCCCCAGCCCATCTCCAGGAAGTCTTCTCTGATGCTCGCCCATCCCAAATCCTCAACCCACCTGGTCCCACCACCCTTACCTGAGCCCTGAGTTGTTCCCTAGCCCACAGGATCCCTCAGCACTCCCACATCCACCCCACTAGGTGCCACCCACTGGGCCTGCTCTCCCCAAGCCCCATCACCTCATCCTACTTCAGGGCCCCAGATGCAGGCTGGAGACCTCCAGGAAGCCCTCCCTGATAGCTAGCCTCCCTGAGGCTGCTGAGTCATGGAGCCCCAAGCAGGGGACTCCCAAGTAAAGTATGGCCCAGGATGAGGTGGGAGGGTTGATACTGACACTACAGCTGCCCCCATTGGCACACGGGTTCCCATCACAGGGCCCAGGCCCAGGTACGAGGCATCCAGTGGTGGCAGATGATGGGCCCCTGGAGCTGAGGCAGCTGCTGCTGGAGACAGGGATCGTGCAGAGGGGCCCAGTCCAGCCCTCCAGGCATCGACACTCATCCGGCTGCTCACAGAAGCCGTGCTCTGGGCTGCAGCCTGCTCGACACACTGCTGTGGGGGGGAAGGAGAGGCAGAGGGGAGAGGAATATTGATGAAGAGCAGAGTCAGGAGGATAGGAAATCAGAGATGATTCTGAGCACTTTCCCTGCATCCCTCGTTTGATCTTTGTGACTGACAATCCACTGGGCTACATGGTATTGAGATCCCCAGTTTACAGACAGGGAACCTGAGGCCCCAAGAGGTGGGGTGATTCACCCAGCAAGCAAGCAGTAGAGGGAGGATTTAAAACCCAGACCAATGAGTTCCAGAGTCTGTGCTCTTGGAAGGAGAATGGAGTGGAGGCTCCCAGGTCTGAGCCTGGAGAGAGAAGGAAGAAAGAAGATTGAGGAGGGACCCCCGGCCTTTCAGGGGAAATGGGAGAGCCTTGGATTAGGGCGGGTTTGGGAGGATATGGCAAGCCTGGGAGTTCTAGGGGCTCAGACATTGGGGTATCCAGGTAGGTGGGGAGCCCAAGCTTTAGAACACAGTGGGGTCTGGAGTGCAATTGCAGGGAGCAGGGATTGGTGGGGCAGGGCGGCGGGGGAATGGGAGGAGCTTCCCAAGTTCCTGAGTAGAAGTAGGAAAGCCCCAGAATTAGAAGAGCTTTGGGGTCCGAGCATCGGGAAAGGGGTGTGAGTATGGATTAGGGGAGGGACTGGGGGTACAAGATGGGAAATGGGTGTGGGGTTCCAACTGGGGGAGATGAGTGCTGGGAAGAGGGAACGGGGCTGGAGTGTCCAGGCAGGGCTTTCCCTGAAGGTGGTAGCTGGATCCTGGGAGCGGGCTGAAGACTCTGAATGGAACTGGGGAGGGGTTCTCGGGTCCCCGGTTCCCTGAGCAGGTTGTGAAAGGGGCCTGGGGGCAGTGACGGGATGGGGTGGGGTTGAACGCAGGACTCACGCGGTGCCTCGCACTCGTCCTCAACGGGCGCGCAGGGGCGCAGTTCCGGGTCACATCGCAAGGGGGCGCCACGTGAGCGGCAGAGGCGCGCACACGCAGCCCCGACGGCCGGCGGCTCGCAGCGCGCACGGTAGGAGAAGCGCAGCTCCCAGGCGCCTGCGCGCTGCACGTCCCGGGTCCATGGGCCGCCGGCCGCCAGGCGACGCCGGCCCGCCACGCGCGCCAGCAGGCTCCAGGCGGGACCTTCGGGAAGAAGGGAGATGTGCTGGGGTGCGGCCCGACTCAGTCTCAGGTTGGAGACGAAGGGCGCAGGCTCGCACTCTCCCTGCCCATCTCAAGGAGGTCAAAACACGCCTTTTGAGTCCTGAGGATGAGTTACTCAGCAAGGCTGCAAACTCCGCCAGTGCGCCCTGGGAATCTTTGATGACGCAATCCCGATGACAATCATGATGATAACGGTTCTCCCGAAGCTGAAATGCCCCTGTATTTTGCCCTGGGATCTTTGTACATTAAAGAGACCTCTTAACCACCCTGGGACGTATGATACCCCTTTATGGCCAAGGGACAATGACAGTCTTTGAAGTGAGGTCAAAACACCTCCAAATTGTGTCTCAGGATCTTCTTATATGAAAATGGTGACAGAACCCCCACTGTGGGTCTTATATAGCACCAGAGATCCCCTCCAATTAAGGTTAAGATCATCCATTGTCCCTCCCTGAAACCTGTCTGGTGAAACTGCAACGTCCCAAAGAGCTCCTGGGGCCCTCTATGTGGACAAGGTGACAGAGCTTTACACACAAGAACGAGAAAGTAACTCATAGTGGACCCTGGGTTCTCAAAATCAGATGGTGACAGAACAGGACTGTTAAATATTATATCCTGGTCCACTGACTCAATTTCAAGAGAGTAAGAGAGCTTCCCCCGGCCCCCAACCCACTTTGTCTGATGTCAGGACATTTCTGTATCGACATGCCAAAAGTCCTGGGGCTGTCAACACCCTGCAGCACACTCCAGAACTGTGACGACACCATGGGGGCAGCAATTCTGTGAACACCCCACCCTATGGACAGCCCAATGTCACTCTCCTTGACCTCACATCATGCCCCAACTCCCTGGAGCCCCCACACTCTGCAGCAAAGACCCAGAACTGAAGACACTCACCTCCAATCTGTCCACCTAACTCCTCTCTCCAGGTTTCGATGATGAGAGAGAAGGTGCCCTGGTTGGGTGGAGGAAGGTGGGAGGAAAGAATGAAGACAGTGGTCAGGGCAGGTACTGGTCAAGGTCAGACTTTAGGGATAAAGAGTGATGACCGTGCTGGACGCAAGACTTGGACAGGACAATTCCCAGAGGGACTGGCCCAGGAAAGGAATGACTATTTTGGCTGTCTTTATTGAGCATTGCAAGGACTGATGTTGAAGTTCCAATACTTTGGCCACCTGATACGAAGAGCTGACTCATTGGAAAAGACCCTGATGCTGGGAAAGATTGAAGGCAGGAAGAGAAGGGGATGACCGAGGACGAGATGGTTGGATGGCATCACCTCAATAGACATGAATTTGAGCAAACTCTGGGATGAGGTGAAGGACGGAAGCTTGGTGTGCTGCAGTCCATGGGGTCGCAAAGAGGCGGACACAGCTGAGTGACTGCACAATGACAACTGAGCACTCACTATGTAGGAAGCACTATACTCAAGATACCTAGTTGAATCCCTCAAAAAGGACCGCTATGATGTAGCGTGATGGTCCGCTGTTTAACAGATGAGGGAGCTGAGGCTGGAAAAGAGAAACTCTCTTCCCTAAAAGGACGAGGGTCTAGAATTAAAAAAAAAAAAAAAAAGAAAAGAAAAAAACCTGTGTTCGCCTCTATGCTTTGGGGGTTGTGGGATGGAAAATAGGATTTTGGAGGTGAAAAAGTCATGGATTCAGGCCCCAACTGAAAACTGTGAGATAAGGTGAGAAGATATTGGGGGTACCCAAGACAGAGTGTAGAAGGGTCCCCAGGTGCAAGGAAATTTGGGTATAAAAATTAGGATCCCAGTGTTTAGGGATCCCCGAGGAACATGGGGAGGGTTCTGTGAACTGAGAATTTCCAGAAGGTGAGCATGGGGTTCTGGAAATTCGGGTTTCCAGATGTGGGTGGGGGGAGGGTGGATTTGGGATCCCTAGAGGGCAAGTTGGAGTCAGAAAATTGGGTCGCAAAGAGTCGGACACAACTTAGCTACTGAGCATGCACGCATGGGCAGGGTTTCTGCGTGTGAGAATGTGGAATTCGAGACAGCGGTACTGGGAATTTGGAATCCCAGGAGGGCAGGGTGTTGGAAGTTGGAGGGCAGATGGCAGCCGAGGTTCTGGTGAGGCCCCCACACGGGAATGCCCCGGGGCTGGGTCTCACCGGCCAGGCGTCCCGGAAGGGCACGCGCAGGAGGCCGTCAGGCAGCCGCAGTTCGGGCGCTGGAGCTCCAGGTTGCGCAGTGTAGACCGGTCCGCGCGCACTCAGCGCCGCGCCCAGGGTGCACGGAGCCTCGGCGGTCTCCTCGGAGAGCCCTGGCTTCAGGCAGACCCTGAAGAAGAGACGGCAGGAGCCCCCGGCCTTGCAGGGGGACCGCGGGGCGCCCGGACCTGGTCCCGGCCCGAAAGAGTGGATCTGCAGCTCGAAGACGCCGGCCGGCTGTACCTGGGGCGGAGAGGGGAACCGCGTGAGGGAGACCGGGGGGAACCAGGCGTCTCATCCGCCCCGCGCCCCATCCCCAAGACCCCCGGGTCTCCCTCCCTCCCATCCCCCGTTTCCACTTCGGCTCTGACCTGGGGAAGGAAAAAGAGCGCCAGGATCACCGTCGAGGAGAGGAGCTGGGGCATCTGCGGGGCGACCATGGCCTTTCAGGGGGCCTTGGGAGCCGCAGCTGCGGGCTCCGGAGCCTTATATCTGAGAGGACGGCTCCGCCCCTTCGGGCAGCCGCGGGCTTCGGGGGACCCCAGGGGAGGAGGTCGCAGGGGAAGGAGAGCAGCGCGCTGGAGCGACAGTGAGATCCTGTCCTGGCCAAAATGTAGTGAGTGTGTGATCTTACATTCCGTTGTGGGCACAACCTTGTGTGACTGAGGACAGGGTGGGGTTGGGGGTTAAGCTCGTGTGTCAGGTTGGGTATGATTTTAAGGCTCAGTAAGTATGTGTGTGGTGTGAGAGCTACAGGAAGAAGAGGGTACACGTGATTGTGTTTGGGTGTCTAGGTGAGATTGTGTAGCTCCACGTGTGCCTGAAACTGTATGGTTAAACCTCTTCGCGAAGTCGTAAGTAATTCTAAGATTGTGTGTGCGGTGGGGGGAGGCGTGGGGGTGGTCGCATGCACACAGCTGCATGGGAGAACGACGACGACCATGATCTCATGGTTGTGTGACTCTCTGAGATTGCCGTGGCTGTGTAGATGAGTGAATGTGAGCTCCTGTGTAGATGTAGGAACCTGTGACTTTGTGGTCTGTGCAGGTGCCTCTAGGTGGCTGTGTTTGTGTACATGGTAAGGTCTGCGCGAGGCTGTGGACGACTGAGGCTTTGTGTGTGCAGGAGTCTGGGTGTGGAAGGTCCAGGGGTGTATGTAGCCCTGTGTGGATGAAGATCCAGCGTTCTTTGTGGACCTCTGTGTGCGTGTGTGTGCCTGCATGCTCGAGTATGTTCCCCTCCCCAAAACAAAGCCACCCTCCCAATCTACCCCCCCACCCCATCACAGACGCACCAGACGCCCAGGCGAGGATCCCCCGCCCCAGAGGGGACTCCCAGCTGTATGTAAATGCCGCCATCTGCCGGGCGGCCGCGCCCCTCCCCCTTCGGGCCGCAGCTGGGCTGCCCGTTTGGCCTCCGGAAGGTGTGAGCAGCAAATGGGCAGGAAATTCTGTCCTCGCGGATCAGGGGCCCGCTCCCTCCACTCTAGGATGAATGGAAGAGGGGGCCACCCCCGCGCCCTCCAGAAGCCCCTTAGTGTTCCAGGACGTCCGCAAGGCCAGCCAGTTAGAGCAGATGTTCCAGCCCGCTGGCCATAATCATTTCACTCCGTGCCAGGTGCTGGGCAAAGCCCTTTAGATGTAGTAAACTCCCCCCCACCCCCCGCCTCCCAAAATTAAAAAAAAAATAAATCCTACTTAGAGGCTAATAATTAAAAAGGAAAATACAAGTTCAGTTATATACGTACATATTTTTCTTTTAGAAAAGATGCTCAATCCAGCACAGCTCAGTAGAGCCAGGCATACAGTGAGGGATCTGTCATTTTTAATGAATGAAAGAACTCAATCTAAATAGTTTGCTTGTCATCCTGAGGATGGAAGTCATGGGACGATTCTGGGCGGGGAGGGCCATGGTCAATTGTGCAGAACATCCCAGCTTTCTTTGCACAGATTTTCCTTCTACTTGTATATGCTTTCCACTTCCTTCTTTAATTCTGTTCTTACCAATCAGACTTCTCCTTCTGTAGGAGGCCTTTCCTAACACTCCCCAAGGGGGTCAGGCACCTCTTCTGAGTTCCTACAGCCCCACTCCCCCCATATCTCCTCTATGCCAGCCCCGACCACTGTGGCTAATAAGGTCTTTCTAAGCACACATCTGACCATGGCTCCCCAGTGCCTTCAGACTTCTGAGATCCCCCGATGGTTCAGATGGTAAAGAATCCGCCTGCAGTGCAGGAGACCTGGGTTTGAGGGAATGGCTACTCACTCCAGTATCTTGCCTGGAGAGTCCCATGGACAAAGGAGCCTGGCAGTCCATGGGACTGCAAAGGATTGGACATGACTGAGTGACTGACACGTTCCCCACACTCAACAAGTTCTGTGGCCCGGAAGCCATAGAACCTTGTGGATCACAGAGTTATTGGGAGGCAAATCAGGCCCTCTTCTGGGATAGGTAGAGCAGTGAGCGTCCCATCATAGGAGATAGTCACATGGAGTTTGGACAGCCGTTAGCTGTTGGAGAAGGCAAATTCCTGCCCTGAATCATAACTGGGAAAGGTAACAGATTCCAGGTCTGATACAGCTCAAAAATTTTAAAGATTGTAAAAATTGCCAGCCTTTATTGAGGGCTTGTGCCAGGCATGTTTCCTGTGAACTCTTAGGCCTACATGTGTACTTTAAGGGCTTTCCAAGCATCTTCTTGGCTGTTTAGGACTCTCCCTTGTGTGCCCACCTTAGAGCCCACAGAAAGCCATGCTGAAGTGACATCTGAGCGAAGACCTAAAGGAGGGAAAGGAGTGAGCCCTATGGATCTCAGAAAAAAAGTTCAGGAAAACAGAATAGCAAGTGCAAAGGCCCTGGGGTGACCATGCCTGGCACAAATCTCTCCATGGTTTGCTTCATTTCATTCTGATCTCTGCTCAAATACACCCTTCCAGGAGGCCTTCCCTGACTGTTCCATTCAATCTAAAACAGTGCTCCAGTCCCCAAACCACTCTATCTCATTATACTTTTCTTTATGAACTTATTGTACCCCAAGCAATCAGACCATTTTCTGTCTCCTCCATGAAAACATCACCTCGGGAGCAGAGCTTTTTCTGTATAATTTGTTCACTGATGCACCCTTGTGCCTGAAATGAGGCCTGGCAGTTGGTACTTATATTTGCTGAGAGAAGTCCTATTACTACCCTCTTATAAATGAGCAAGCTGAGACCTTGCCCAGGGTCACATGGCTTGTGAGTGGTGTGCAACCTGGGAATTCTGCCCTAATGTTGGCCCAGACCTGTCCACTGAAGGATGCCCTAATGCCCCAGCATTTAATATAAACACCCAAGGCCACATCATCGCATAAGCAGTGTCTCCTGGCAGAGACCACCTGGCACAAGTCAAATGCCCTCTCCTCCCTTCCAGCTTTGAGCAGGTGTGACCTGACCACACCATCCCCAAACCAGCACAGCGGTGGGGAAAACGCCTGGGAGAATCCACTGGACTGAAGCACTACCCAGAGTGCTGGCCCTAATTCCCAGGGGCTACAGGCCAATGAACAGAGGTACTTGCTCCTTTCATGCCCCGTGGGTGAACACATCCGAGTCTTCGTTCAGAAGGTCCCGTGTGTCACCTCCTGTGGTAGGTGAACATTCACTTGCAATGGCTCCCTCTGTCCACAATCCACTCTCCCCAGGATCATGAGCCCCAAATATGTTGCATTCAGTTAGGAGTTTCCAACTCTCAAAGCTACGTGCAAAAACACAAGCTTTGCAGATGACCTCAAGCTTGGGTGTCCTGGATTTTGGGCAACTTTGTTGGATTACAAACGGTATATCTCATGGTAACACTTCCAGGTGGGGATGGGGAATTGCAATTTTTAATTCTTTATAGGTATCTGTGAGCTTAAAAAAAAAAAAATCTATTAGAGTTCAGAAGTTCAATCTGGCCTGCACAGTTTCAAATACATTTTAATTATTTTAACAAATACCAGGGAAGGGCATTCTGAAAGTATTTAGTATTGGCACTAAATGCTGGCTGGAGCAGGCTAGGACAGACGGCAGGTGGGGGGGGGACTGCCAAGATGGTACAGGATAGTTCAGCCTGTGAAGAACGAATATGGCCTGGCAACAATAAGCTCCGTTGAACATACATACAGCCTGAGCATAAGCTGTCTCCCTACTCCTCACGACCACCCTACTGAGACAGGTGTTACCATCGCCCCCATTTTAGAGCTGAGGAAAGGGAGGCAGAAAGGTGCTTCCGAGGTTCTCACAGCTACCATCTGTCTATGTGGAGGGTCTCAGTCCACCCTCAAGCCTAGCCTGTGAGGTAGGTCCTAGTATTCACAGATGTGGAAATTGAGGCACTGAGTGCAGACGTTAACTTGCTCATTTGCTTGTGACCACACGAGTCAGGCAGTGGTAGGGCCTGGATCTGAACTTGGATTGGGGTATTATTTCAGAGTCTGGAGGGACTTCCCTGACTGTCCAGTGGTTGAGACTCTGTGCTTCCAAAGACAAAGTGTGGAATTCACACTCTTAAATGATACCCAAATGTGCTGTCCAATGCAGGAGCCAGGAGCCGCAGGTGGCTATTTATTTAAAAAGAAACAAAATTAAGAATCTCATCCAAAAAAAAAAAAGAATCTCATCCTTCAGTTACCCTCGCCGCATCTCAAGTCCGTCATGGTCCCATGGCCCCTGGCAGCTGCACTGGACAGTACATGGGATAAACATGGTGGAAAGTTCCACTGCAGAGTTCTGCTACAGTCTGTTTGTTAGGGGCCAACATTTTAAAACTGAGAGATTTAACATAAACATCCGCTTTCCTGGCTTCTACTGAAAAATCAGAGGATCAAGCAACTCCAGGCCCACTCCAGGGCCCCAGCCAGGCAGCAGTTGCCCCCTTGACATGAGGCATCTCTGGTCCAAGGTGCCCCAAAAGCCCACATTTGATACATTTACGCAGCAGCCTGGTGGCTCCATCTTCCAAGCCCACAGCGCCGTCCTCTCTTCTTTTTCTGTAGGGAATCGGGCCAAAGAGGGAGACATACTTGCGCAGACCACACGGCACACAGGAAGACGCAGGCAGGGCAGGGTCCTGCCCAGGGTTTCAGATTCCCAGGCCAGGCTCAAAGACCAACCTGATCCACCAGAGCACCCACTCTGTGCTCGGCAGCTGATCAGCCACTGTGGGACGAGGTCCCCCCCTGTCCCGCACTGCACCCTGACGCGCCCATCTGGAGACCCTCTGGACACTGGAGTGTGGCGTCTGGGATTAACTTTATTGGACACGTGGTTGCCCAAGCCATGGTCTGGGAGCGCTGGGCATCGGCCTAGAACCCAGGCACTGAGTTTGCGGAGGCCCAGAGGTCAGGGCTGTTTGGAGCGAGGCCACAGGCGGCTGGTGAGAGAGCTGAAGAAGAGATTCTGCTTGCTGGATTTGGAGAGCTCGGC